ATCATCATCAACATCATTTATCATTATATCATCTTTAATAGAGGTAATTACAATTGTTATAAAATAATGACTCCTGAGACTTAATTAAACACACGTGAGTATTTAACGCCGAAAAATTACCAATTACAATATAGTACATATAGCCTCCAATACCAGACCTAAAAATGTAATGTAGTCTTTTATGATTCAGCCTCAAAATAGACGATCAGCTTTTTACTTGGAAAAAGTAGTCTCCAATTTTAGAATTAGTTACGTTCGTTTTTGTTTGGCATACATATTTTGTAGGGCTACGTACCATGTGGCTTCAAACAAATTTTCCTCTTCACTCACTTGGCAAAGTTTCTTTGTCAGTTATGCCTCTCATTGTAACATTGCCAAAGTAAATGTCTAGTAAGTCCCTCTACTCCACATACACTTCCGATAATTTTAGTAGAGAAAGGAAATACAAATGTAGTCCAAAACCCTATCATCAACATTATCATCATTAGCTATAATTATTACCGTTATCGGTGCAGTATTGTTTATTGTTTATTATAATAAACAATAAACAATAAACAAACAATATGAAGAAATTATAGTCTGGCTGTCGGAAGACAATTTCTTTGGCAAAGATGGTTCTGGTTCTGACTCAACAACATTAGAGTTCACACGGGTAGATTGATGGTGGTGCCTTCTAAGTGGTACAGTGTATGGAGTATATATTTTTCGTTTTTATCGCTGAGTGGTTGAAACATCGGTAGCAAAAAGGCCATGTGTTATTTAATCGTTTATCATCATCAACATCATTTATCATTATATCATCTTTAATAGAGGTAATTACAATTGTTATAAAATAATGACTCCTGAGACTTAATTAAACACACGTGAGTATTTAACGCCGAAAAATTACCAATTACAATATAGTACATATAGCCTCCAATACCAGACCTAAAAATGTAATGTAGTCTTTTATGATTCAGCCTCAAAATAGACGATCAGCTTTTTACTTGGAAAAAGTAGTCTCCAATTTTAGAAATACCAAATTGGAGAATGAGCTCTATCTGAGTATGTGGTGGACATATAATCGCCTTTTTAAGAATCTTGGATATTTACCCACCTACATCAGAAGCCTTGCAATAGTGTTTTGTCAATTAATAATTGCACTTATCTTCATTTGTTTCTATTTTTTCAATGGAACAAAAATGTCTTGATCCAATGGACTATGGGTTGCCAAAAGCTTTCTATCAGTGGAATGGTCAGGAAAAAAACCACAAAAACGATGTCAATTTAATTGTCATAATTAAAAGATTAGTTGTTAAATAATAAAGTGAACATAACAATCTTTATTGCAAAATAATATTTATTATTTTTCATTCTACAACACATATTGTACACAACAGGAAATATGACTGAATTTTAGTAAAAATAATTGTTACATAAATTATTTCCTGGTCAAGGAACTAAATAGTTCTTTCCACTAAGCCCCGGCCTCTTTGGATATTGTTGCCAAGTTACCATAAATAAACATATGCAAACAAGTGCGTAATCCTAGCCCTGATCTGATTGGTCAGTTGTAACTCAAGGCCTGCTTCATTACTCAAGTCCATCTCCCACCAGACTTAAGTCACACCTGGCATGAGCGGTAGTCTGCATGTGATCTAAAAGTTGAAAACATCCAGGCTTTGTCTGGCGTGCTTATCTGTTTACTCACATCATCATCCACTGATGTGGGGAATCTGATGGACCAGCTTCGTTACTTAAATCCATCTCTACCTATAAAAAAAGTGTAAAAAAATATTTGGCAATTTATTATTTAATGGGAAGAATAATATGGAGGTTTTGCATGCGAATGCAGACAGCGAGTGTGACGATACTGTGAGGACAACAAGCATATCTCGCTCACAACACGACGTGAAAAATGTGTAGGAAAATTTTGGATTTCTAGTACGATCTTTGTTTTTTTAAAAAATTTTTACAGTAAGTTAAAAAAATAAATGTATCTTTAATATGTACGTGCCATTTTTGTGATTTTTAAAGACAGCAAATTACGATAGGATGCGTCTCATTTTTGGGGTATTAAAAAACGTTGGTGCTTGGTGGTGTCAGGATTTCTCTGTAGGTCTAGGCCTAGCTTGGGGCCTCCCTAGGCCTAGCTTATAGTAGCCACTTCTGGGCAACAAGGGAAGGAGTATTATTTGGCTACCACTTCCAATTTCCAAAACCTTTACATACCAAAACTTTAGGACATGCCAAATCTAATTTTGAGAAGCATGATGAGAGAAGAAAACTGAATAGCCTAGGTAGGCCCTAGGCTTTGCCTAAGGCCCGACACTTAAACTTAGCTGTCATTGCGAAAAGCACAGCATTGGTACAAACTGGTACGGATAGCTAAGGCAAGACCTTTTTTATACCTTGCTTAGCGAACCCGCCAACTGCAAATATTGATGATTTCGAATAAAAATAAAATTTTATTTTTGGCCAATTAGCACACCCGCCACCACGAAAAAGTGGAAATTTCAGAAAAAAATAAAAGTTTTTCTTAAGTTTTATTACGCCCTCAACTGCCTTGAAATCGCCAAAGATAAGATATGTATATTTCTTCCTAATTATATAAATTTGAAGCAATTAACCATCCTGTTTTACATTCACCAATAAAATTTTATTTTCATTTTCTCCTCTGTTTGGATGTTTTTGGCAAAACTATTTGCTAAATAAGAAAACTAAATTTTATTTTTATTCTGCCTTCCTCTGATGATCTTTGTACACATATTCGTTAACGTGCAAAACCTCTCAATTTTGAAAGAAAGATCGACTGATTCCATTCAATGACGCGGAGCCGAGCTGTATGGAACACAAATTCTTTCATTTATGCTAATAAAAAACATTTATTATTTGTTTTATAATTAAAATACATAAAATAGATCCTTGTATGATATTTTATGAAAAAAATCTACCCTTTTTTCCTGTGAATGGAACAATCCAACATCTTAACTAATGAAAAGATGGTACTAGGTTGAAGCGTGCGATGGAGCAAAACGGATGGAAGAAAAATGCATAGATGGAACAAAAATGCACAGATGAAACAAAAATGCACAGATGAAACTAATAATGAGCAGATGGAACTAATGATGAGCAGATGGGACTGAAATTACATGAGTGATGAAATACAGTAGTATAAATAACCAATGTCACATGATACGAAATCCACCAATAAAATGAAAATGACCTATTTAGGCATGTTTTAATAATAAATACAAACAGATATACCAAAACTCCCCATCACCCCCAAAACCTTGGCCAGAAGGAAGAGAAGATTTCTCTTACATCTTCTGGGGATTCTGCATCATAAACATTCATTTCTTCGCCGTCTAACTCATCCACTTCTGATTCCTCTTCTGTGTCAATTTCATCTTCTTCATCATCCTGCTCATCTTCTTCAGATGTCTGCAACAGTCAAACATTTCATAAAATATCTCAATATTTTTGTGCAATTTTGCAAGCCAGATCAAATGTGAGACAACAAATGAATTTAAAGTTGCAAATAGAAGTAGAAAGGTCATTTGAAAGCTGGTGCCCCAAGCAGGCAAAGAGTGAAGCAACATTGCTTGTATGTTGTAATTTGCTACAGGATAGTTTGGTATTCTAAATTGAAATATAATGAGGACAATTCAGACAAAATGTATAATACAATATACAAATTGACAATACAATAATATTATCTGTTTTATTTCCTAAGACTGGGTTGGTAGGCTTTTAAGCTAGTGTTCATCACTATTATCAATCCTAGCCAACTTAGGTAATATTGTAAAATTTGTTGCTTGTCCAATTTTCATTATTTTTGTAAATGTATATATTTGGCTGAATAAAGAATGAATGAATGCATGAATATTAAAGTAGGAAAGAGGACAATACATTCTTAATTTGAATTGTAAACTGGAAAAGGCATAAAAATGAAAATGACTATAAAAATTAACAAACCTCTGTTGAAGCTGTTTTTCCAACTGGAGTTATATTACTTCCCTTTTCTGCAATACTTTGCAACTAAAAAGAAGAAAATAAACAAATAAAATGACAGCAGGACATGTAGGCTCATGATCACTGAGCCGCATGAGATTCAGCAGGCGGTAGGGCTGGGTTCACACAAGCTATAGCCGGCCAGGAGGGTCTCTAGCTAGGCCTACGCCTGGCCTAGCCTAAAAAAGTGGAAATTGCCTATCTTACCCAAGCTTGATGAGCCTGCTCCTCTTGTGAAAGTTCAGATTCATCATCAAGTGCTTTATCTACATCAAACCAAAGCTGATCAACAACTTTCGGTAGTAGAGATGGAAAAAGAGTTGACATGTCTAAAAATCATCACTACCCTAGCGAGGAAAAATAAACAACAAACACACAATACGCTACTCTATTTACTAAACAGTAGAGGGCCCACTACAACTCGCGCGATTTTTGGTTCATTAGATCAAAACCCGTGGAGAATGTAAATATCGTAGGCTTAGGCCTAGTGGTTTAAATAGAAATTGTGTGATTTTGCAAATGAAATTCCTCCAAGTGCTATGTCAGCCTTACACAAAAATACACTGTTGAAGAATACAAGTAGCTTACCATCTAAACATATGCTTCCACCTTCTGCCATTAATAGGAGTTCGGGAAGGTGAGTTTATAGAGAAGACCACCACCACACACAAGTGACCACCACTCACTGACACTGTGTTTTTCTTTTCGTTTTTCACACTACTGTTGGGTGTGTGGACCAGGCCCTACGTCTGTCAAATTGTCTAGACCTTCACTAGGCCCAGGCCCCTAGAGTTGTGTTTTTTGTCACAGTTTATTTATTACAATGGATAATATTTTCTTAAATTTCTATCAGAGAGATGCTATACTCTTGAGTTACTTAATCGGCGTATTAAATTGTATATATTTAATCTAAATTATTAATACTACAGAATTAAGAAAATTAATAGGCTGAGAATGCTATTATGAAAAACAAAAATCTTTCAAAGTAATGAAAACACACTCCAGATTAAAATGTTACAGTTTATTCGAAAGAACCATCCAAATTGAAAATTACTTGTTAAACATTCAAAATTTTAGTTATAAGAGAACAAAAAATTAATTGGGTATTTTAGATTTGGAAATTGAGCGAGGGAGGTGGTAGAAAATTAAAAAGGAGGAGCGTTTTTTGTAAATTATATTGCAATAGTAAGATTGAGGATGAGTATTTTTTTATATTAGAATGTCAATTCTATGCAGAACTCAGGAAAGAATTTATTCCAGTATTTTATTTTACCACTTATTCAAAAAACAAATTTATTTTGTTAATGTCATCAGATTCTCATGGTACTTATAATTTAGTTAAATGTACATATTTAGCTTTTACCAGAAGAGAAACTTTGCTTTAAAAGCGACACACTATTTATGTTAAATTTTTGTATTATGTATGACAGGCCTGGGGCGATAGTATACAATGAATAAATGTCCTGAACTTTGTGTCTAGGAACAAATAAATTCATTAAAAAAAATTAATCATTGCAGCTCCACTTCCAATAGGACACCACAGTCAAGGAAGCGAGATTTCACCCCGTTACCATGGAGCAGTTATTTCACATCTTATCAAGATGTGAAGATTGACAAAGAAAATATATCCTTTGAATGGACCCTTTTAAAGGAGTTTAATTTAAAAGAAATCTATTGAAGTTCCCTGCAATGTTATCTTCATTGTGATCATGAGAAGCAGCACTAGTACCAACACCATTGTCATCGTCGTCGTCGTCATCATCATCATCATCTTCATGTTCTTCATCATCAACATCAGGATCATCATTAGCAGCAGCACCACCACCACCATGATCATCAACAGCATCATCAGCATCATTATGATCATCATTATGATCATCATTTTATCATCATCATTAGCAGCTACAGCAGCACCACCATCATTAGCATCATCATCATGAGCGGTTGGCTGTTGTTTTTTGTGCCTGTATGTGTCCGTTATATGTTATAGTTAAGTTGGGTGGCACTGTAATGTTGGCTCTTCCTCAAGAATTATCGTCATCATCACATCACCATCACCTATCAATCATAATCATTATCAATAACAATCATTGCTGCTTTTACTATCATCGTCATTGTCACGATAATCATCAATGTTGATTGTTTAGCTACCACCACAGTTACCACCATCATCATTATCTTATGCCTTTACATAATTATTGACTGAACCATTATTTTCTTTAACTGTAAGTTTACATTTTCAGGGTTTATGAGAAGGGAGAGGCTGGTCCAGTTGTTGTATTACTACATGGAGGCGGTTTCTCAGGCCTAACTTGGGCTGTTATGAGTGTTAGTATCGATTTAAGTTCCATATATACTGTCCGTGTACAGGTACAGGGTTAGGGTTAGGGTTAGAGATATAGGCAACAAAAGTTTACACTTTCAGTATTTCCATCTAGACATGCTACCAAAATCAACAAATATAACACAAACAAGCAAATTTTTAAATATCGTTACTTTGAATTATGGACCATTTTAGCAAAATTTGAAAGGAAATTTCTGATAACCTGGCAACTACCACTGGGGGACTTGCAGAGGCCTTTAATTTCACATAGTTGCCATAATGGATTAAATCAACGATAATACTAAATTACTAAAGAGTCTAAGTTTTAAAAAAGGTATCTCAATGTTTATATATACAGTAATTACAGTAATTACCAAGATTGTATCTGTTGTCTACTGCTGCTATAGCAAAGGTCTAGCGGCGTGATGCGCTCCGCGGTGCACTATTTGTGACTCACCAGCTGCTCAGGCTAGGCCTCTGGAAGTCTCCCAGTGAGTTGCGAAACGTTGGTGGCGCTGTTTCAAAATAAATCCGATAAAATAGTCTATAGGGCCCATTTTATAATTTCCTCAGTTTCTTATATTCCTTTGTAATGTATTTTTTAGTAACAGTTATTTCCAGCTAAAAAAAAAAAATTTCATTCAGGATATAATTTTCTGATGTATTTCAGTCTGTACTCATACAACAAGTCAAATGCAGGGTCATTGCCATGGATATGAGAGGTCATGGAGAGACCAAGACTTTGGATGAATCTGATATGTCTGCTGAAACTTTAGCAAGGTTTGATTTAGGCCAAATAAAAAAAAAATTGTGTTGGCCACGCCCAAACGACCCAATATGTACGAAATTGAAGTTCAACATTTTAAAGTTTTTTTTTTGACTACAACGAAAAATATTTTTTTAATGAGCTAAAAAGGCTGGAATAGGCCAATCTTTCTGGACGATAGGTGATGCGACAGCGTTATGCTATCGTTTTGCTCTTCAATATAGATTTAAAACTGGTTTTTGTTGTATATATTTTATTTTCTAATTTTTAGGCATAAACATTATTTGAGTTTTTGGATTTTCCCAAAATGTGGCCAACACAAGAATTTTTTTTTGGCCTTATATTTGAATATTTAGAAAATAAGTTAATTTAATCAACTCATTACTGAAAGTTTTACTTTTGAATTATTTTGATTTTGGTTTTTCAAATTTTAGTGATGTTGGCAAAGTCATTGAAACTGTATTTCAAGATAAAGAAGCTCCACCAATCATATTAGTCGGTCACAGTATGGGTGGAGCTATAGCAGTTCATGCAGCCAATAAGAATGTAGTTCCGAACCTTCGTTCCTTGGTAGTTATTGATGTTGTAGAAGGTAAGTGTTTTTATAGGTTTGTGGTGTAGATTATACACCATTGGTAATTTGTCCACAGTACACTTGTGGGCATGTGGTCCACATTGTGATTGCACACCTGTGATGATCCTTCAATGAAGTATTACCAGGGCATACACCTGGACATACACCTGGAATAGTAAACCATTTATTGATGCATTAATTGCTACTTTTATTTCTTTTTATTTAAGATTTTTCAACCGTGTCTGGTTTTGAAGCTTTTATTGTCACTTATCTTTATCTTTTCCCAACAGGATCTGCATTAGAAGCTTTACACAGTATGCAAAGTTTTCTGAGAGGGCGCCCTTCAAAGTTTAAGTCATTGCAATATGCTATCGAATATATGTAAGAGGAATTATATTTTTCATCACAGTAATAATTTAAATTTAATTATTAATTAAAAGACATTAGCCTTCCAATAATTCAATTACATTAAATTCATTCTTTATTTTCATGTTACATTATATAAACAGTGGCAGTATTTAATATTTTGGTTCACAATAAAATAAGTTTGCCTGTTAAGTACTTACATTTTTATCCTTGCATATTATTTTTTTTCAGAATAAAGAAATTAAGTAATAAAGGTAGTTGGCTAAAGAGAAAATTACTTAAATAATAAATAACAGAGTTTTAAATTACTGTAAATTTATTTATTTAAATGATTTCTTTTCACCAGGGTTAAAAGTGGACAAATCAGAAATATTGAATCAGCTAGAGTTTCTACACCAGGTCACCTGATTAAGTAAGTCATCATCATTAATTAATTTACTTGTTTTCATTTACTGTTCATGGGTTTAAGCCCCCCTCTATGGCAATGATGTTCCAGAAAGTGAGTTAAAATACTAAAAATAACACCCAGTTCACTTTCTCAATTTTTGCACCCCCACCTCCAGGATGTCTTTTGTTATATTATTTTTTTTTTTCAATGCTGAAATTTTAAATAGATAAAATTTATTTCAGATGTCAAGATGACAAAATTAAGGAAGATTTGTTACAACAATGTTCAGGATTAAATGATGCAATAAAAGAAGAAGATGAAGAGGAAGTAGATGGTAATGATGTAAAAAGAATGAAGAAAGAAGAAAGCGGCATGAAAGAAGAGTGTAGCGAGAAAAAATCCCAAGACTCAGTGTACACATGGAGAGTAAACTTAGCAAATACAGAGCAGTATTGGAGAGGTTTGTGAAATGTTAATGTTTGCCCAGAAATATATATGCAGTAGTGTGTATGTGATGAGGCTTACACATGTACTTTTCCACCATAAACCACATTTATCCCCTCCCAAATCCCTCTTAACCACAAACACTAAATCATTACCACCTAACCCAAAAAATCCCACCCATCGACCTCCTCAGCCACAAACACACCCCATCCTCCTCTTCAATAATTGGTGTAGGGTTATGATAAAACATGTAATTGTAACAAAAATAAAAATGAATTATATTCCCACAATTACCCCTCCCCTCCCCCATATGCATACCCCTCCCACACACCACAGTATTTTTAAATGATGAATGAAACAAAAAATAAAACTAAAATGCACAAGTAGAGGAAAAGAGAAAACATTTTTTTCCTTCAAAGATGGTTTGAAAGTTTATCCAAGTTGTTTCTTGTCTAGTGATTGATGCTATGTTCTCACACAGCAGCTAACGGTTAGCAGGATCCGGATCCTGCTAACCGTTGGCTGCCGTGCGTCCATACGAGAAGATTCCGATCCGGATACCAAGAATATGATGATCGAATCACTGGCCAATAAGAAACTGGAAATTGTAAACATGTACGTGTGATTGGTTGACAATAGAAACGCGCTCAACTTGCTAACCAATAGAGCTTGCTAACCGTTAGCGACGGTTAGCGCTAACCGATCGGGCGTTCTCACACAGGTGCTAACGGTTAGCACTAACGGTTAGCTCCTGATCGGGATAATAGGGCTCTCGTGAGAACCAGGCTTGATTTGATGTTGAATTATGACATGTGATAGATAAGCACCTTGACACAAAATCTACTACAAACACACATACAATATAATAATTAGCCATTATCTGTTACAAATGAGGAATTTGAATTTGAATAAAGTGAAATATTATCTGATAATCTCCTCATGATAAATTTTTTTTTTCTTAAAGGATGGTTTGAAGGTTTATCTGAGTTGTTTCTTTCTTGTCCAGTGCCAAAATTATTGTTATTAGCAGGTTTGTCATTATACTTTATGTAGACGAAAGTTTATTGTGCTGCAACCTAAACAGTGATCATGGGGTTGGACAATTTGTTTGGAAATTCGCAACTGTTATTATACTGTACTATCAAATTTGAGCAATCTATATTTTGCACTCAAGGCAAATTATTAGGTGCTGCGGAAGCTTTTGATTTACTACAGAAATTCCAAGACATTGTTGTGCATTTTACTAACTTGAGAATTATGATTTACATCCTATGGGTAACGATGGACCACCTGTAAAGGAAATTCTGGCACCACCCCTGCAGGGGCGTATCTAGAAGTCTTTTAAATGGGGGCGCTGATGGGGGGGGGGCGCGAAGGTGAAGTTGGGGAGCTTGAGTATCAGTTGACGGGCGCTAATTCGCAAAATAAGGTGATTTTAAACTACTTGAAAGTGATTTTTTTGGGAAGGAGGCACAAGTAATTTTTTTTGGAGGGGGGCGTGCTCCCCCACGCATCCCTCTAGATACACCACTGCACCGCTGCTTTCATGTACGAAGTTTGTTCTCTTTAGAATGGTAACTGTAAATTGTTTATGTTATTTGTAGGAGTGGACCGTCTTGATCGTGCTCTAACAGTTGGTCAGATGCAGGGTAAATTCCAGATGCTTATCCTACCTCAGTGTGGCCATGCTGTCCACGAGGACCAACCACAAAAGGTAAATTGTGGGAGTAATGATGTACTATCCAGTTTAAGGAATGTACTTATTTATATATTTTTATTATCTATTAATTCATACTTTTTATATTTCTGAATTGAACATACTATTGTTTTTGCCTATCGGATCAATCAACAAATTTCATTTTTACCATGTTGTTGAAATGACAATAAAGTAGTATCATATTGTATCGTTCTATTCTCACAATTTTTTTGGGGTTGGGGGGGGGAAAGGTTTAATACACCTCAAAATATACTTATTAGAAATGGTCCCTTTTAAGCTTTAATAAATATGTTTTAATCTGTCGTGTAGGACCTTCAGACTATCACGTTATTTTGTTACAAAAACATGTGACATGCCTAAATATGGTCATGATATGCATGTAGTGAATAATAGTTTGCCATAAACTACACCAGTAATAATTGATCTTTTCGGAGTGTCAATCAAACTTAACAACTGACCAATCAGAACAGAGCTAGGAATATGTGCGTGTCTAACAAGCACACATGTTGTCAGGCCAACGCACGTTTGCATATGTTCGAACTGTTGTGTGGGACCTTCAGACTATCACATTATTTTTTTACAAAACATGTGGCATACCTAAATATGGTCATGATATGACCATATATAGGCACGTCATCACTATATATGGGTGTACAATTATTTTTTTCTAGGTTGCAGATGCTTTGTGCACTTTTCTGACAAGACACAAGATGGCAGAAGCACTGTCTGGGTTTGAGAGGTAATCTGAATAGAGTTTTAGAGATCTTTTGTGTGAATGGGGATTTGTGGTACAGTATGAGTCTATTAGGGAGCTTTTGATTGCATGACGATGGTACAGTGGTGGCGCCTGAGGGGGAAACAACCCCCCCTGTCGGGGAAGACGAGTACATTTCGTCTGGAATAAACAAATTAAAAAAATTATTTACATTTAATGTTCGTTTAGACACAATATTGTTTTCATTGAACTTTTGTGTTAACTTTTAATCACAATAATAATAATAATAATAATAGTTCTAATAATGAGACTAATTAAAAATGAATTACATTCTGTTATAACAAATGCTCGTTTGGATAGCCTCATGATGCTTGGAATACATCGTGATAGGGAAAGCAACCCATAACCTTGACAGTGTGGTTGACAGATTTGATGCAGAATTTCACTTTAAAGAATGAGGATACACCATCTGCTGATCGTTGGTGGCAGTCTGAAGGGATTGTCATTAAAAAGGTTCCATTGCGCTCGATGTTGCATTCTCCATAGAATTGCATCAACCGCAGTGAGTCTCCGGCTTTAGAAGTCATCTGTTCATGTAATAGCAGTGAGTTAACGACATCTGGATTCTAGAACACTGTTTGGCCTGAAATTATGATGCGTAGAGAAGCAGAATGGTCAAAAATGAGTGAATACATTCTGGGGCTTATGTTGTGCAATTCGAAAACTCCCTATTATTATGGTGTACATTAGGGGTGGGCATAAAATTCTGTCGGAGGGCCAAAGTGAATGTTTGATTTAACACTGAGGGCCGTAGCCAACTTTGATGTTTCTAGTGAGCTTCCAAAAGCCTCCAAGCACTGCTTTTACACCACTTTATTCTCAGTTTTATTGGTACTTTTTACATATGATATGTGTTTGGCTGTAAAAAACATGATGTTTTCTAGCCAATGTTGCTTGGCGGGCCGCACATGCAGGGTTTTTAATTCATTTTCTCGGGTTGCAAAAAAATCACTGTCGGGCTGCACTTTGCCCACCTGTGGTGTACATCAAGGTTAGTTTGGGTGCCTGGTGTTTTGAGATCCTCCAGGATTTCTGTGGTGATTCTAATGTAGTTGAGATTGGGTTGCCAATACAAGGATGCCTAGAAGTTTTCTTCTTTTTTTTTTAATTCCAAGGTTATGGGGCTTAAGCTTATTATTTCCTAACATATTCTGTTGTAACTTTAAATCAAAAGGGCAATTAAATATTTTACATGCACATGATAAGAAATATTCCTGCCATCCCATCATTAAACCTACATCCTGATATTCTTGTTCTCTCTTTCATGATTTTTTATTAGCAAATTTATATTTTAAATACTTTTTGTACCTATGCACCAAATTTAAAAATATGTTTTAATTTGCATAAATGTTTTTTTGTTTCTTTTCTGTAGGCCATCGCCATGTTGTTAGGCCTGAGGAACCTGACCCTCTAGCTCAGCTGTAGATGGATCACCTCAGTAGGAAGAAAATTCAACAATAATCTACTAATTTCAATGTGGATTTATGAAAATGATTTAGAGATACCATTTGACGAGTTATTTCCCGTCAACTTTAGATTTAACCAATCAAAATATATGTTACATTTCTATGTTGTTTTTATTTATTATATTTAATTTTTAGTGCATGATCATTTTCTGTCATGCTGTAACTGATTGGTTTTAAATTTTTTAAATCATTTATGTGGGAGAGTACATTCTTTTATTCAATAAAGGTTTGTTCTCCACTGTATGTACACTCGTTTGATTTGGCATTTATATACTCAGCAAATTTTTCATTTATTTGTTCAGACTATCAAAATTTTATTTGACAATAACATGTGACAAGTCTAAATATGGTCATGATGACATCACACCATGACCATATATAGTCACATGATGACTATATATGGTCATGCAACAGTTTTTTGGTCAAAGAAAATTTGATTGCGTGGACACAGTTTTTTTTTTTGTTAAATTAGGAAATACTTTTACCAACCCACTACTCTGAAATTCGTTCATGCATATTTATTTCTTTATGAATTGATTATTACAACAGCCTATGTCATGGTGTTTCTAAAGTAAAACAAAATTTCAGCATATCCAAAATAGTAATGCACAACCGATCATTCTTTCAAAGCAATGCTTGCATTACTGTTCTCAATCTACTTTAGCTTCCAATGAACAACGTATTGTATTCTTAGGTGCTTTTCCTTTACCCGCATTGCTCTGAACAGATTTGCATTCGATTATTATTTATTTATTTCAAAATATCCACAAATCACAGTAAAAACTGAATTGCTTGGGATTTACATATATCAAAATTACAAAAAAGACAATCATATAAAAGGACAAATTCGGAGATTAATAAAAAAAATTTTAAAAAATAACATAAAAAATAACAAAAATGAGGGAGATAAATATTATATACAAATTTTTGAAACAGAAAAAGGGATATAAAAAATATTACAATTAAAATATTAAAAATTTAAAAACAGCAGAATCAGTAAAAAAAATGGCACATAGATTAAAGGAGTAGGAAGGATCTGTGTTTCTAATTTAGTACTGTGTGTAGTATTCAGCAAATATAACAATCCATTACATTTCCTTTGTTCATCTGATAAGCACCATCTCCACCCATTTAAAACACACTTCTTGAGTCACTACCAGTGGCAGCAGGGGCTTAAGGGACCCCACCGGACAGGTCAAGCTCCCCCCTTTGGACAGATCTTGTCGGGCAGTCAAAAATAGGCCCAAGCCAACACATGCCTGTCACAATCTGAAAGTGTCATTTCTGGCCATCCAGAGGTTCCTATTTAAATAATTTCATTTGTGGGGGAACACCTATTAAACCATTTGCCCAGTCTCGGGGCTACAAGCTCAAGTCCACCATTCGGAGAGCTCAGCCCCCTCCCCATCCCCAGAAAATATATCCTAGAGCCTCCACTGGTCACTATGTGGTTTTTAGAAGAATTTAAAAAAAAATTAGTTCTTTTTAATTGAGTCACTCATGTTTGGGCAGACAAAACCTTCAGGTATAGGAACTTGCTCCTCCTTTGTTCTTGCTCCCTCATATTTCACTTGTATATACATGTAAAATTGGAGGAAATACAGATATTATTATTATTAGTGTGTATGATGTTGCTTACATAGTGTGGTAGGATTCGCAGGAAGGACACCTGACATGGGTTGGGGTGTAAATGCTCCTCCTGTGGCCAGACAGGGGGCTGAAATGGACCAGTACACCAGGGTAACCCCATACTCTTCTTGAAGGATGTTCTGGGTTCTTTAAAGTTTGCACGAGTCAATTGTGTACACTGGATCTACGGTTTGGAGTCCTTATCCAAAAAGACTTGTTCCACCACCGAAACAACAGGCAAGAGTTCCATTCGAACAAGGCAATTCAACAAAAGGAAGCACATCTCTGCTCTCTAACATAACGTGTGCGTAGTCCTCTGATCAATTTATTGTGGCATCGACAATCGAGTACAGCTGTCAATTATTAGTACATGGGTACCACATGTTTTATGGTGTTTACTATTTAATTAACAACTATCATTAACTATCATTTTGACAATTTTGGACTAAAGTGCACAAAAAGAGCATTTGAGCAGATACAGAAAATGTATTTTATCATATTTCATAATGTATCATGAACTACAATACACTGCAACATTGGTAAATTAATGTTGAAATAACAAATATAATTTCAGTGTAATGTTAGTGCAAAATGGTCAAGATGCTTGCCTTCTAATCCCAGCGTTCGGGGTTCAATTCCTGTGACTAATTCTCACAACTAAATCTTCACCCCTAAGCCTCATAAAGAGACTGCTGATTAAGTCATCTTGCCTTTTCATTTATATCCTGAATATCAGCCGACCTTTTAGGATACACTGGAAGGTCACTCTCTATGGTAAAAAGAAAAAATTGTAAACCGTCACTAGTACTGTATGTAACTTGTAATGAAAAATCATTGAGCTTATTCAACTTTACTCTTTCTTAGTAAATTTTTTATGAAAATTTTAACAAAAAATGTGCTTAATGAGACTTGACAGTAAAAAAAAATACTAAAATCAAATAATCCTTTTATTCATCAATAAAATCATACAACATACTGTAATACAATAAAATAAATGCAATTGAATGACAAGATACATAATGTACATAACTGTAACTATGGTAAAAACTACTTTTAAAAATGCTTTGTAAAAACCATAAGTATATTAGTTGATCACTAGAGGTAGAAAGTCCTAGTTACTATTTATGGATATGCTAGTACAGTAAGAAAATACTTAATAAAACTAACTTTACCAAGGGCTCACTGTACACTAAGTTAAGGAATTAAGCATAGAGCCAAGTTTAAAAATCACAAAATCATGGCACTTTATAAAAAACATGTGTGCAGCATGTATTGAATTCACAATAATATAATACATCTGTAGTGAACAGGATATACATCTAAAAGAAACGATAATTTCTTTTTATCTAAGGAGTGTGTACAAGCGCTTTGTAGCCAAATTGAAAGGCGTGATACAAATGACAATATTAATAAAACATAATTTAAATAAATAAACTTATTTACAAATTTATCTTTACTTTAAAATGTACAGAAATATTGTACACAAGAATTGTGGGAAATGTAGCATTATTTTAGTTATCCCCCTCCCTCTCAAGCTCTTTGCTTCTCTCTTTCCTTCCTCTTCCTTTAATTTCTACATTCTAAGATAGTGTACTACTGATGGCAGTATGGACACACGAAGAGAAAAGAAGAGGATGACTTGGTGTGATAGGCAGCGGAGCATATAGAGGTCGGCAAAAGGAAGAGAGGATGACCTTGAAAGTGCTGGATAGATTGTCCGAGATGACGGTAGCGTGGTTGATCTGAGCAAGGGAGAATAGAAAGTGGTGTCGAGTTGACCTGACACCCCTTGAGGGGACAGAGGGGAAGATGATGATGATTCTAAGATACTACTAAGATATACATTTTTAGTTCGATGCATACTGTTGCATTTCTGTATAATACCCTATTCAGGCTACACTCTCTTGCGATCGGTTGCGATGTAATCGGTGATAATCCAAAACAGATTACTCCCGACTTCAATCAACAAACGCATTCAGACCAACACAAACAAACTTTACATTCTAGGGCCTACGCCTCCGGTGGCTAGGCCTATGTTGCCTGACCTCAGCCAAACAGTGCCTGTGGAATTCGTTGTGATCAGATTCTGTGGTAATCGGAAGTAATAAAGATTGTAGCACCCAATTGCAACGGGTAACAATTGCGATATCGATTACATATCGACTGCTATTGTTGAGCTTTCACACACGATTTTACTTTGTGATTGGGTGTCGCAATTGCTACAACCGATCGCAATGCGATGCTAGTCTGAATGGGGTATAAGTGAACTTTATTTATTCACAAGGTGGTTCCTCAAAATTGACAAACCCAAAAAGGGAGTAATGACGTAATGATGTGGGGGGGGGGGGAGATTCCCTACGAATGTATCATTATTAAAATAGGTTCTAAATCAGTGGCCACACCACTACTTTTAAACCACTACCTTCACATATCACATGAATATCCCCCGTACATCCTATGAAATATAGCATGCACATCCTATGCATATAACATGCACACCCATGCATATCACATGCACATCCTATGCATATAACATGCACACCCATGCATATCACATGCACATCCTATGCATATCACATGTACACAACATGTATTCCCACTGCAAATCACATATATATCCTCGAATATTGCTGTAAATGCAAACTCCAATATCCACATCATATGGATTCTGGTGTTTTGTTGTCATGAGATTTGTTGCAGAGTTTTTCTTGTTCTGAACGCAAAAATTGTTGCACCATTGGAGATTGCAATAAAGCCTGCAAAGAAATAAAAATCCTTTAATGTTTATGTACAATTACAATTTCAATAGGTTTTGCTGGGGCAAGGGGTGCACACTGTGTGATCACACCCCACTAAATTGTATTAGGAAAATAATTGAATTGTTGATAAGAAGATAGTACCGGTAAGATTTTTAAGGTATGAGAGATTGAGAGTGCAAATTATAGGCCTCTAGTGGTCCATATTCTCAAAAGTTTCTTACCTCAGCCCCAACCGTGGTGGGGCTGAGGTGGTCTGGACTCTGACACACACCCCTTACTGCCAATCCTGCATCCCCTCCAGTTTTACAGATATGTAAGTCATTGCTACAAACTTGTCTTTCCATAAAAACTCAACTACTAACCATTTTTTTATCGGTTATGATTTGATCTGCAAGAAATTGTTGGTGTTCTGGGAACGCTGCATCTATTAAGTCACCAAGACCACTAAGTTGATCTATATCCTCCATGGATTCCTGCACACAAATATAATATAGAAAATATGTGAGAATTAGTGTCTTACTGAGGGCCACATACAGCATCCTGAAAGCATTTGATTTGGGTTTCTCCTCCTAACTACCACACATATTGTATTTATTTTATTTTTATTTTATTCCTTTAGGCACATGGTCAAGGATTACCAATAGCGACTTAATCACTGTCCATAGATGGCAATTTCTTCACTTGACAAATATAAGCACATGATACTCTACAAACTAAGTTTCATAACAAGACTTATAGGTGGAGTTGTTTTTCATGTGAAAAAAATCCTGGAATCTGGTAGGATTTGAACCTAGGACACTGGGATTGGAAGTTGAGCATCTTAACCACCAAGCTATACAATTTCACACCACATAAAATGTTTTGAGGTTTCAGTACGGTGCTTATATTATTCAAGGTGTGCTTATTCAACACTTGGTATCCCAGCTTTGGGGAGGGTGTTGTTAACTTGTAGGTCTAAATTTCCAAAGTTCAACTGCGGTTTGATTGTTTCATAACCTTTTAGATGTGTGGTGCATTAAAGATGCTATTGTCCCATAAAGATACTAAAAATATCATAAAAATCATTTTTAAATTAATCTGCTCATTTTTAACATGAAATTTATCAATGTGAACATAGAAATTAGTTTAAGTGTTTAGTGTATTTAAGTGTTTACCCATAATTTTACAGCAAAAGTTTTTATTTTATCATTATACAGTAAAAATCTGGGTAGAAATTTTTTTTTAATTCAACAATTTCTATTCTCAAGTTAATAATGAGCAAGTTAATTTCAAAATTTTATTTTATGATTTTTTTTTGGACAATACATCTTTATAGAAGTTCTTGGAAATTATCTTTTTTTCATCTGTAAAGTAGTGTCTATCTCATCTTCATACCTTTGAGTAAAAAATGACATTTAAAGTTTTATTTTTTTTTTTATGTTGTAGTATGTAAAACTGATTTTTCTTAGACACAAAAAGCATATTTGACAAAAAACTTGGGAATTGGTTGAGATACAGATTTTTTGAATATTCAAAACTGAGAGAAAAAGGGGCATAACCACCCTTTTTCCACTGTTTTCCCCCAATTTTTAAATATTCAATAATCTGTATCACATTAACTGTTCCCGGGTTTCTTGTACAAAATATTTAAAAAAATGTTTACTCCTGAGGCTGGTTTGAAGTTAAATAATAATGATAATAATAATAATAATAATAATAATTCTGGATTTATATAGCACCTCACATTGACAAAACCTCGAGGCGCTTAACAACAACAGAGAAGAAAAAAAAAAAAAAAATCCAGACACATGTATTCTGTTTTTCTTTTTCTTTTTTTTTTTTTTGGGGGGGGGGGGGGGGGGTTTGT